AGAAAATTGTATGATCGATAACTGGGATTTATGTGCCAATGATTTTATATTGCGGTAGGTTGAGATTAATAGCCGTGCAAATTTAAGAGGCAATGACATTTGCCCACGTAATAATTTGCCATTTCAGTGTTGTATTTATACAATGCAATGTCTTATATGAAGAATTAGGTCCAAAGCAACAAAAGTGAAGATCATTTTATGGCCACTTCATCCAACATACGAAGTACTAATATTTGATGGGGATTAACTTGGATACTCCACCCAAAACAATAAAACTCAAAAACCTTATCAACATCAAATCATTTTGCTTATATTTTACTGTAATTTCTATATATATGAACAAACTTTTTTGACTACGTTTAAACCCAATCTTGAGAATTACCATTCCTTATTATAATAATTGTTAATTGAATCTTACCGGAAAGACATCAACTACATGATATGCTCATAATAAAATGTAATCAATGCCGTCATCAACGTCAATTTTCCTTTTAGTTTACTATAATATCTAAATAAAAAAATCCTTATTGGCTACGTATAAACCCAATTTTGGAAATTACCATTCCATTCGATATTATAATAATATATAAATTAATCAATGCCACTTATATCATAATATTTTTAAAAAAACAGAATAATTGTTTGTCTAAGTCATTTTCAATGAACCCCATATAAAGAACAAACATGTCCAAGTACATTTTTCCACATCCTCTATATTATCATTTGAACTCACTGAATAAGTGATTGTAATTGATTGATTATTAGGGTTAATAATTAAATATTTACATTTTCATTTTCAGAAAATATTTCATGAATCTTCATATAATGACAGAATCAACATCTTTTTCCATAAATTAAAAATATTGCATTACCTTCTTTATATAGACCTCTTTTGTGCGGAGAATGAAACACCCGATGGTTTAAACAACATCCTCAATTAGCACCATATTTTCCCTTTCCTCCGCCTCCGTCGCTCCTGGTCGGATGTGCCTTTTCGCGGCAGGATTTCATGTCAACGGCGTCATCATCATCGCAAAAATATAAATAATAAATCTGCTCATGTATTTGTCGGAATGAAAATTAAATCTGAAATGTGAAACGTTTGGCTCTGATTTTGGATGTTCTAATGGGTTTCAGCAATATAGTGCCCAAACCAATTATTCCCTCCGTCCTATAATTATTGTCCACTTTTACTAAAATGAAAGATTTTATTTTTAGTCAAACTTAACTATATTTTACTTTAAATAACCGAATATACCCTTACATAAGTAATTGTTTAACCACTAAGATTTTATGGATAAAGTTTTTTACTAAGGACAAATGTGTAACTTGATCTATAAAAAGTCAAATTGGACAATAATTTTGGGACAAAATTTTTTGGGCAAAGTGGACAATAATTATGGGACGGAGGGAGTATTTGGCAAAATGAATCTGGAGTTCTTTTTTTTTATTTCAACGATTAACTTTCCATAAGATATATTTACATATTTTATTTTCACAAAAGGATAACAACATTAAAAAATGTAAAATGCCACCCCAACTATTTAGTTCCTTTTGCATTTACCCCGTTATGTCATGTAAACTTTCTTACTTTAACTATTCAAGATTAATTTGTAATATGCGAATTAATATGAATAACCAGCCCAATTTCCCCCTATGTTTTTATTTCATTTTTCCTATAATTACTTTATTCTTTACTCTATCCTCAATTAGTATTTAAAATTTTTGTAATATTTCGTTTTTTCCTATTTACAATTTCATGATATTTGCATTTCTATTATTTTAAAATACAACAATAGTTACATTTTTCCATTTATATTTATTATGTTAATATTCATATTTAGCCATTATCACGCTTTTGTTTCACAATTTTTTTTAAAACATGTAAATTATAAAAACTTATGCATAAATTCCGTGCATCGCACGAGTTTAACAACTAGTGTTTTAATAAAAGTAAAATTCGGTGAAGGTTATTATTGCTCAGCAGTGGCACAAGATCCCTATGTCACTTTCCTGTGACAATGTTTAATAATCATTTAATAACATCATATAAATATTTTCATAATAATTACATTATTTACAATCACTTTCAAAGCTATATATATTTGAAAAGTAATGATTCACCTTTTTCGAGGTAGGACCTATTTATTTTAAATTTTATGGTTTAAAAATTCGATAAAATAGCCAAATTGCATTATGAATAAAATATTGATACAAAAACATAAAATAACAATATGAAGATAATCTATAGTGGAAACATATATTTATGGTATATGCGTTACCACAAATTATATAATTTATAAAAAATGATTGGATGATACAACAGAGAGTGTTACGGAAAAGTGGGACAGAGGATCCTGTACGACAATGTCGGTGAATGTTTCGATTATATTCTGTTTGTTTCGGAATAATTATCTGTTTTGTTAAAATAAAATAGTACAATAAAGTGAATAATATTTTGAGAACGATCTTTAATCGTTTTTAATCACAATATATATATAATATAATATAAATGATGGTCCTACTTTTCTTAACAATTTTGAATGTCGTTTCAACAATGACAATTGAAAAATTAAGAGCACTTTTTTTTCTTTTTTACTTTTTTTGTTTTTTATATTGAGAACATAGTTTTGTTAATTTTCTATATTACTCTAAGATTTTATGTATATGCCATATTTAATTTCTCCTAATTTTCACATTCTTTATCATTTAATCAAATGTTCTTGCAATTTTATTATAATTTGAATTTCAGCATTACTATGAAACAAAACTATCAAAATCCCAAATTCCGCCCAATTTAAATTTATACAAATCAAATTCCGCCCAATTTACTATAACCATAGGAAACTCCTCAAACTTTTATTCCTATCAACAAACCAAATTCCGTTGGATTTAGATCTAAAATTCACCTCAAGCCCGCCAACTTAAAACTTTTGCAACAAAGGTTACGAGATTGTGTTCAATATCACGAACGTCGGAAAGCCGCTCTTGCAACAAAGGTTACGAGATTGTGTTTAATGTTACGAACGTGAGGAAGCCGCTCATGTAACAAAGGTTACGAGATTGTGTTCGATATCACGGATGTCGGAAAGCCGCTCTTGCAACAAAGGTTACGAAATTGTGTTTACTATCACGAACGTCAGGAAGCCGCTCTTATTCAAGAAGGAGACTTTCTCCTCGTGCATGGTGCCATGAAGTACCGTTGAAATTATTAGAACACGGATTTGTTTGTATTGTGATTTTGAATACCAAATGTCCTATTTAAAAAAGTACATGCAACTCTTGATTATTCTAATAAAATGTTAGATTCTAATACGAACATGATGTTTTTTTTTTTTTTCCGGTAGTTACGGTTATTGTCCTTGTATATATACTTGCAATAGTAAATATTTGGACAAGATAAAGAAACAAAGAAATATTTTCATAATCTAAAGGTAATAATTAAATAAGAGAAGCCCTTACGTTGTCTGTGTTGGACTTACCCGGAGAGTTGGACCTTCGATCCCTATTATTTTGTTACAGCTTATTAACGCAAAACAAGCCAAGGACAGGCAAAAATAAAAAATAAAAATTAAAAAGAGCATCAACAACCCTGGAGCAATATTGAGCACCATAATGAGTCAATATCTCACTTTCCATAACCAGATGCAGGTTAATTTTAGTTCAGAATCGATCACATTGTATATATTATTATAGGTTCTGTATTTTAAAATTTTTTTTTTATAAAAACCCTTAGAGACAAGATAAAGCAATATTTTGGGTGAAGATCGTGCATTTTTAATTTATTTCAAGGCTAATGCTTTATGGAAATTTTAGTATCTACTGGGCAACATTTGTGCCTAATACTATCAAACCATTCATATTATATACTTTTTGTGCTAACTTGTCACATTTTACTCTCCATTATCTTTTTTTTTAATATAAATTTATTCCAATCAAATTATATCTTACTGTTTTTTATGCATTTTATAAAATTTGTCTATTTTATTATTAGAGTGGAGGAGTTATACAGACCTTCATCCAGTTTTATAACAGATTTTAGAGACACTATAGAATGTCTTTCAACCTTGACATTTCGAATGTATAACTTGACAAATCTTGACAACCAACAACATAATTTAAGCAGTGTCTTAATTGTTTCACTTATTTTGTTGATTCATTTGATCTTAAATTCTTTCTTATTTAATTGACTTTTATGCTACATTCATAAAAGAAATTAAAAATGAAACTACCCACGCACACATGCACCACAAGAAACCAAAGATAACAAAAGAAACCGAGTTAAACATAAAACTCAAGGAGACACTGAACTAAGCATGCACTTAAACGTAAAAATCAGTGAAGCTAGACCGAATTTTTTCCTTAAATATATTTGAAGAAAAAAACCCGGACAAAAATAAAGCTTTTTAAAATGTTGTGGACAAATTTATATGTCCCGGATTTAGGAAATCCGAATGGGGGCAAAACTCGGATTTCGGAAATCCGACCCCTAATAAACTCGGATTATTAAAATCCGACTTTGTGTTACGTAAATCCGATATTAAGTTAATGACAAAAATTAGTGTAATTAATCTAAATCCGGATTTTATAAATCCGTTTCTATGAATAAAATATTAATTTCCGGATAGAGAAAAAAATGTGTTGAAAAATTAAATTTAGGCAGAACTCGGATTATCGAAATTCGAATCTCCTCTGTTTTCTGAAAAATGGTGACTCTCAGTTGGCTACGGACTCGGATTTCCGAAATCCGAATCCTTTACAAAAAGTCTGGGTTCGGATTTCGCAAATCCGAGTCTTTGTCAGAACAGAAAAAAAAAATTGGACTGATTTTCACCAGTCCTAAATCTGTTTACAGCACCAACAACAATGAAACATTGGAAAACAGGAATTTAATGGCAACAAAACAATAAACGGCATTCGATTAACAATAAAACAAATCAAGTTTCAAAAAAAAAAATCAATACAAAAACTACTTTAAATGTGCAAAATAATGAAATGTCTCATTTTTTCCCTTTTCCTTTATTGTGCGCATCCGGAGTGTATTTGTTTGGACCCTGCAGGATCCTGTCTCCCCTCTTAAGATACTTGAGTATTGAACTTTGTTGTGGTTGCGACTGTCCACCAAACTGAGTCTCGATTTGGGGTTGGGATTGGGACTCCCCCATGGTGATAAATTTGACTCCCGGTTGTGGTTGCGACTGTCCACCAAACTGAGTCTCAGGTCCACCAAGGTCAAACTGAGTCTCGGGTCCACCAAGGTCAAACTGAGTCTCGGGTCCACCAGCTTCTTCAAAATGAGTCTCGACCTGGATGTCCGAGCCTCGAGAAGAATGTGCTTGATCCTCATTTTGTTAACCCTCAGTTTGTTGTTGCGATGTCCGAGGGGGGATTGTGACCTTCCTCTTTCTTCCTCCTCCAATCTTATCTCTCGACCACGGTTTCGCTTTTTTACCCGGCGGAGGTTGTGAGGGCAAAAATGGATCTTCATCAACTAGGATTTGGGTATCCTCCACCTCCATCTCATCATTTGCGCCCAAGGTTAAAGCAGCATGTGTTTGATTGATGATATCGTCCAAATGCTTGTCAAGTTCTTCGTCTAGGAGATTATCATCTTCTCGTTTTTCTCTAAACCTCTCGGTACTCACGCGAATGTTGTTCAATACTTCACCCTGAAAAGAAATTGGGATGTTAATTAAGAGAATAAAGTTCTAAAAAAATAAAAAATGAAAAAAAAATGAAAACATAAGAAATAATAAAAGAAATCTAGAATTAACTCACATATAATTTCACGCGGCTCAAAGAAGTCTCGTATCCTTGAGGTTCATAATTATCGGGATTGGATATCAGTCTGACAGTGTTCACCATGAACCATTTATAGTACCCCTCATATACGGAACCAGGATCTACTTCCTCCAAATCTCGTAGCACGAACTCTTCTCTCCTATTCCAATGACGACGTACTGCGGAATGGTGGTCCACCCAATTATTGCTAGGATACCCAGACATACTGTGGGCGTGGTCGAGAAGGAATGCTGCGTTATCTTTAATCATGGGGCGCTTGGGAACATCCTTTATGCATCCAAATTGTCTTACGACTCTGCCCGACTCGTGGCCTTGTGTACAGAAATCAGGGAGTCTATGGAGGACATGTGCATATAGTTGCCACCGAAACTGCATGAAAAGAATTTCATTAGATGGTACAATCGAAACAAAAAGAAAGGGGTAATTGATCTCAAAGTAAATATAAATACCAAATTACAAGTACTTACATCTTCAACACGCAGACTTATTAACTGATCTCTAAAAGGTGGAGTGCTGCTCCTTGGGGCGTCGCCGTAGGTGTACCTACATTCCCACCTTAATAAACAAAGGGGTATATTTGAATTAGTGAAATAAATGAATAAGAAACAAATAGAATTAAACGTTGAGTTATTTTGAACTGAAAATACGTACCGCTAAGCTAATGGAGCGGTCTCATCAATCAAATAATCTACTCCTTTTCTTTGGGGCGCGATCCTCTCGATCCGCTCATACACCCATACCTAGTAAATTGTAATAATAATGTTAAAACTTCAAATTATAACGTCAAAAGCGCAAAATAATTAAAACACAAAATGAAAACTAATACGTACGTGTAGCAAATATAGACACCCAGTGGCGTCGTGCATGGTATACTGTGATGCCTCGCATAGTCCAGAGTACAACCCAGCCAGCAGTGCCGATCTCCAACTGTATCGACTACACTGATCCAAATCCTCAACCTGGGCCAGGAACTGTAGATTGACAGTATTCTGCGTCTTGTTCGGAAACATGAAACTGCTAATAAAATGCAGTATAAGTGTCCTGGCCCTTTGCTCGAATCGATGGACAGTGGAATTTTCAGGTAGTGCACGATCCATCTCATCTTCGAAAATACCAACATTGACACATTGGCCATTTACAGTCGCCGGCCGGAATCCCAAATAAGCCTCACATCGATCCCACCATTCATCTGCAGTCCGGCTAACTGTCGTCCCGTACACCGGGTCACCATCCACCCGAATACCAAACAGGACCTCGACGTCCTGTAGCGTCACCGTCGCCTCTCCGAAATTGAAATGGAAAATGTGGGTTTCTGGCCTCCATCGTTCCACCAACGCGGTAATGAGGCCTAGATCAACTCTTTTGTACCCTACTTTCATGATCCCCTCAAAACCGGCTCTCCTAATGACTTCCTTAACCTCCGGTGCCGTATTTTTGTATAACGCCCAAAAATCGCTGTCGTACCTACATCCCTTGAGGGCTGAATGTTTTAATGTCCGGTATCTTATTCTCATAGACAGCTTGGGACCTATGCTTTGTTTGACGATATAGCATTTTATCTTGTATAGGTCCCGGGTGAAGATGTTTAGGTTGATAGTCATATTGCGAGCCCGATGCCGGCGTCGCCATTTCAATCCTACACAAGGTAACCAATACCACTTCAATCAAAATAATGATTATGCACAAACCAAATACCATATACACTCGGCCAAAAAAAACAATTCAACCAAACCATATACATTCGCCCAAATAACAAAACTACCAAACGATGTACACTCGGCCAAAAAAAACAATTCAACCAAACCATATACATTCGGCCAAATAACAAAACTACCAAACGATGTACACTCGGCCAAAAAAAACAATTCAATCAAACCATATACATTCGGCCAAATAACAAAACTACCAAACGATATACACTCGCCAAATAATATAACTACCAAACCATATACATTCGGCCAAATAATCAAAACTACTAAACCATATACATTCGGCCAAATAAACAAAACTACCAAACTATATACATTCACAATTCACAAATTACACAACTATAATCCAACACAAACACTATATCAACACTACTAACATTCGCAATTCACAATTCACACAACTTAAATCCAACACAAACACTATATCAACACAAACCAACACAATTCAATGTTCACATTACAATCCGAATTTATCAATGTTCACATAAATTTATCAAACACTAAATCACTTGCAAGAACACTAAATGACTCTCAATTCCAGCTGTTATACACAAGTCTTCTATCTACTCCTGGGTGTGAGAACGGACAAGAATTGGCATCATGACCTAGTTGTCCACATCTCCAACATTCCCCCCGGCTCCGGCGTCCCCTGTAATCCATTTGCATTCTATGTCTCCTTTTTTGTCTTCGTCCCGGTCCCGCATGCAACACAAGACGCTCATAATTCGGAATGATGTTCCAATTGACCATCGGCCATTGTTCCTCATCGGGAACCGGAACAAAGCCCGTGTAATGAAATTGTCTGCGCCACGTTGGAAGGCGCCACACACTATGGTATAGATCAATAGGCCGATCCCCTTTTCTTTGACAAACTTGGAGTGTGTGCGTACAAGGCATCCGGTACTCTTGCCACTTCCTGCACGAACACCTATGTTCATCGTAGTTCACCATATGCAGAGACCCACCCCTGCCACTTAGGCGTGTGGCAGTAAAAACACGCCACATAGCATCATCACCATCGAAAGGGGTGGCTTCAAAACTGGCTGCTTTGTCATTCATTTTCTCGTATTTTTTCCATAACTCAGGAGGGATCGGTGTCATGCAATTTCTCGCAGACAATTGTTCTTCTCTATAGAATTTAACAGTTTTGCGAAAGGTTGCATCGATCAAGGCTCTAATTGGTAAAAAACGGATCCCTTTCAACGCATTGTTGTAACTCTCAAAAATGTTGGTTGTCGCTATGCCCCAACGGCGAAGACCGGCTTTCAAACGAGCCCAGTTACTCCCTCCAATCCCTCGAAGATACTCCCATGCAGCAGGTTTGAATTCAATAAGCTCTGCCCTCATACGGTTGTATTTCACTCTTGAAAGCGTCGTGCCCATCTTCCAACATAACCGCTTCACCTTTTTTCTATTATATCGCGACACAAGATTGCTGCGAACGTGGCGGAGGCAAAGAAAGTGCCCACCATCACCTAAATCACGCCATTCATCCATCTGTGACATTGCGCTCAACAACCATGCATTCCGGTCGGATATCACACTTACGATTCTATCATACACAATCCACAACCTCAAATTCCTCATAAAAAATGTCCAACTCTCTACTGTCTCCTCATCCACAATCACAAATATAACCGGTAAAATGTGCTTGTTTGCGGTATAGACCACCGCAACAAGCAATTTACCCTCGTATCCACCACGCAAAAAGGTTCCATTGATACAAATGACCGGTGGACATTCAAAAAACGTCTCAGCCACCGGTGCAAATGACCAGAAGACGTATTTAAATGTCCGGTTTCCCCTGTTCCAACCTTCTTGTCCCTCCTTCCATTCCCACTCTACTACAGTCTCAGGATTAGTAAACTTAAGCGCAGCGATATATCTAAATAACAACAAGTCATTGTTAAAATATTTCAATACATGTAAAAATAAAAATACTAAAAATATTTCAATACACGGATAAAAGTTGATATTTACCGTGGAAGTTCTTCGAAATTGGAGGTCCAATCACCATAGACCGCTTCTATGGCTTTCCTCCTCCCGTGCCACGCCCTTTTGTATGGCACATCTACTTTCAATAAGGTTTTCACATCTTTCTGTGCCGAGGCTACCGTATAATCTACGTTGTCCTCAACCTTTCTCCTGATGAGTCTAGCAATCAAAGACGCGTCCACACACCGATTGTCATTATCATTCACAGGAGTTATGCAATTATGTGCATCATGCCATCTCACAATTTCATGAAGGCCGTGAGCTTTTCATGACACACGCATCTTCCACTCACATGGTGGTTCACCATCCTCACTTTCCACATTAAATGTTCTGCACCGCACAGCCCACGTCCTTGGACTACTCGCGGCGACCGTATATTCCCTTTTATGATGGATGTTCCATAATTTCACAGCATGTTTTGTTTCTGATTGAGATTTGAAACAAACACCAATGTCCATTCCTTCGGGCGTCTCATCCCACATCTTAAGAGCAAACTCATCCTTGTCTACACATGAGGCATCCCAGTTCCCCATCTTACTATATACATGGCGTCGGGCGAATAGATTACAATCTCTTTCCTCATTTTCCAACCTTTCATCATCACTTTCTTCAAAATCACTCTCTCCGGAGACATCACAGTCTTCTTCGCTTTCACTTGGAGCTATGTAGTCGGAATTCGACTCTTCCCGGTAGTCATTTTGTGCAAATAAAGGTGTCTCCTCTTCATCACGGTTTCAAGAAGTAGTAGCACGTTCCCCCCTTGGAAAACCACCAAATGACACGTTTTCCAAATTCGCTTCTCTTTCTTCTTGAGTGATATCTTCCAAATCTATGTATAAATCCAAAAATGACATTGGATCTACACGGTTCATGAACTCTACATGCGAATCATTCTTGATCTTCACTACACGCCTACCACCGGGACTATCGAAAATCAAAGAAAGGTGGAGTTTCACGTGTGTTGGATCCCAACCAAGTGTCATACAAATCTTACTAATCAATCTCTCATATGACAACCTTTCTTCGACAAACAAACCATCATCCGGCATATTCGAAAAAGTGTTGATGCTACCGTTCTCTATCACATACTTACTTGTATGATACAAATTAAGCATGTATGATACATTACGTGCCATTGATAACTGTTAAAAAAAAAATCAATAACTAATCATTTCTTAATAACAAAATCAACAAATACACCATACATACTCCATTCATAATTCAAAAAACCCATCATCTCTAAAATACACCATACACCATACACCATACATACTCCAACAAATACACCATACTAAAATACTTATAAATCAACTTCGATATCTCATGAACAACTATGATTTCTCATCTCTAACCTCAAAATCAACATCTAAAACATCCAAACAACCAACCAACATAAACCTTAATCTATCATACATCATTCTAACAATCAAAATGACACAAAACTAAACTAAATAACATGGTTTTGCAATCTAACCTCTTTCAAATAACGATTTCCACGTATCTAGAGGCAAGAATGCATCAAAAACTCCAATTCGCCCTTGTTTGAGCTGCAAAAACAGAAAATCCAAATCAGTTCTCGAATGAGAACTGCCTGAAATTTTTTTTCTTTTATAGCACGTTAAACTCGAATTTACGAAATCCGAGTCCGTAAGTAACTCGGATTTTTGAAATCCGAATTACGTTGGATTCGGATTTCATGAATCCGGATTTAGTCAATTGAGGATTATTTTATTAATTTTTTGGTCCTCCAATTTAAGGCACATGCCTACTTCCACCAACCAAAATTAAAGGCAGCCGGATTTCCAAAACCCGAATTCCTAAAACCAGATTACGGACTTCCGGTTTTTTGGATTCAAGAATTTCGGGCTGCGATTTATTAATTTTTAACTAAAGTCGGATTCCACAAATCAGAGCTTTACTGTTCATTTAAGAATTTTTAAAAAACTATTATTCAACAAAATTTATGAAATTATTATTTTATTATTAAATATAAACCCGGATTTGAAAAATCCGAATCTATAATTTTAATCGGAACTCGGATTTCAGAAATCCGAGTAATATAATTCTGTCCACAAATATTCTGAAAAATTTAAATTTGTCCACGTTTATTTTATTTAATTTTTTTTGGGAAAAAGCCCCCCAGTCCAGTAACTGATCATAGTCATTTTGAAAGGATCTAAACCGTTAACCAAAATATATCAAACCCTCAAACCTAAATCTCTAATACTTATGTAACTTAAGCTATACAAGAATTTTTTTTTTCTAGAGAAATTCAGGGCTATAACTAAGCTATATAAGAATTATAAGTTGGGCTGTGAAAGAAAGTAATTAAATGTGCAATCTACAGGATCAGAGAATGGTAATGTCCGGATAGAAATTATTTGTCTAGTAAAAAGTGTTATTAGTAATTTAATATTTTTTTTGCAAGACAAACAAATGCTAGGGCCAAAATAAACCGAGCTTAGAAAAGAAATTATTAACACTAGTCAAATAGTTAATGTAGACCCACGTGTACACGACATTCGCACGATATAAATATTGTATGGATGTGTTACTTCAATCAATTAAAAAGATATTTTTACATATAAACTACTTTTTACAATGAAAAATTTCTCAATAATAAACAAATTTTACTAAATTAGTAACGGAGAAATAAATTATTTATATTAAAGGATGGAGCAATGCAAGAAACGAAGTTTTTCATGACATTAGAAAGTGTCATTATAAACAATAAAGATGCTATTACCTCAGTGTACTCTATAAGGACACCTGAAGTTATAAGGACATTTAAAATGTGTTTATATATAGAAAAGTCTTACTTTAATTATTTATTGATCTATTCTCTCACCACATATACAAGTGTCATGAAAAGTTTTCCAAAAAGTTGCAGAAATTTTCCTAATCGGTCATTATGAAGATGAATATTAATTTTCTTTTGCTTTTATTTTTAATATTATTTTTACATAATCATATTCCCTCACTGATAAAAAGCACAACGAAAAAAGGACACAACATAAATTTGCAAGAAAATTTTAAACTCTTATATATATATATGTTTGGTTTAACCAGGTACCTGGATATATATTGATGAACTCCATTTGAAAAGGTAAAAAAAAGAGGAAAATTTGGATGAGGGGCAATGGAGAGTTTTTAATTAATAAAAGGGGTATAAATTTTAGATAATATGGATTAAGAGTAATAAATTATTTTCTTAAAATCTTAAAATTAAATTGTTTATGCACTTCCGTAACTACCCTTACTCTTTAATTCCTATAACGTTGAACTAGAGGAAAAAGAGATAAAACCCTTCTACTTTTTTTTCCAGCCGACGCGCTAATCGTCTCTCCACCAAATACTCATGTTCGGCATTTTTGCAAGGTAATTATAGCAAAATGGTATACCAAATTGGGATTGATCAATTCATTTTGTATTCTTTTGGGTCACTGGTTGATCGATACTCTTGCTGTTTTATGCTTGTAGTAATATTTGAGAATCGTTTAATTCATAGCAATTTGTAATAAAGTAGAAGGTGTTACAGTCCTTTCTCTCAAAATATCCTTGTTTATGAGTTTTTTCTTAGGTCTCGTAGACGAGGTTTGAAACCTGATCTTGTACAAATAATCTCGTACAATTTTCTAGTTTACAGTAGCAAGTAGAAAAACTATTAATTTTGGGGACGAGTAATCAATTCAATCTAAGTCATAAACAATCTAATAATTTAGTTTATCTTTCTCTAAAATTAATGAATGTAGTTATTGATTTAGTTTTTTTGATGTGCTTCTTTCTCCCAAATCAATGAGGGTATAGTACTTGAGAATTGGGGAGGGTTGTGGATTAATGGTTGATGGACTTTTCTCCTTACTTTAATTTATACTTCTTATTCATCAACATGTGCACGCGATTAGTGTTGATGTTTGTTTGTGTTTTTTTAATACTTTTCTTAATTTTAATATTTTTCACCATATTAGCTTTAAACAATTTTCAGTATTTAGTTTCTGATTGTTTTTCAATACGGAAGATTAGGCATGATGTTTTATAACAATCCTATTTATGCAGGTTTAGGTAGAATTAAAATGGAAAAATCAATCTTTTGTTACTGTCATTGGGGTGGTGACAATGTTATTTCTTCGGACGGTTATGTCACTTACAAAGGAGGAATAACCAACTCAATCATTGTACATAGTGGAATGACTTTTGGCGAGTTTGTGACAATTGTTTATGAAAAATTAGCTCTTGATCCAGTAGATAAAGTGATACATTCTACACTAAATTATGATTATAAATAGCTTATTTTGATGAAAGACGAGATGGATTTGCAGACACTTATTGAGTCCAATGATAGTTTTGCCCATGTATATGTATCACTTGCTGATCAAGAAGCTACACCATCTAATATTTATCGTGACATGTAAGTATTTCAACCTTTCTATTGCATTCTAATGGTGTAACTTACATATCATCCATGTAAATTCTGCAATGACAACTTTATGAATTAATTTTCTTCCAGGCCATCGAATAATATAGCACCGGCCATTGCTTCCCGTGAGATCTTTTACAATACATCATCAGAACTGGCAGCACCTTATGAGCAAGCTAATCAAAGTGCGGCAAGCATTTGGAATGATGTGCTTATTGGCCCCGGACAAGCTTCCGAAGATGCCAAAAGTTTTCGTGCTGCTGTATACAGGTTTTCTATTGCTCACAGATTTGCGTATTCGTACACACATAACAAGCCAAGTTATTTGAAAGTTAAGTGTGGTGTCAATGGTTTCCCGTGGAAGATTTCAGCAATGAGAGATGGCAAGTCAAATCAGGTGTCTATTAGAAAATTTGAAAATATTCACACTCATTCAGTAGAAGATTTGCTCAAGTTTAGACTGAAGTACAATTCTAAATTGGTGGGCGACATATTTATGGAAAAAATTTCTAGTACACCGTCATATTTACCTCGACAAATTTGCAAAGACTCTTGGACTGACTACCACTTTAAGATGACCTATCTACAAGCATGGACAGCAAAAGAGAAAGCAAAGATACTCTTGGATGGTAGTATTGAGGACTCCTATAAATTAATTCCTTGGTACTGTAATAGACTGAAAGAGGTTATGCCGGACACTGTGGCTACTTGGTTAGCTTATGATGATGGTACATTCAAGCAACTCTTTGTGTCTTATGGTTGCTCGATTCATGGATTTCATGCTGGGTGTAGGCCGTTGATTTTTATTGATGGATGTCATTTAAATGGCCCGTACAAAGGGACTCTGTAGTCTGCATCATCCATAGATGCAAATAACGGTATGTATCCTTTAGCTTATGGTGTTGTTACTTCAGAAAATAAAGGGGATTCGCTTTGGTTTTTGAATCATCTTAAGGACATAGTGCATAATAGAGAAGTGGTAATTATATCTGACAGAAATCCTGCTATACTAAATGGTGTAAATGCTTTATTTGAAGCAGAGAATCATTCACATTGTTATAGGCATCTACAAGAAAATTTCAGCTCATTCATTAAGAAGGATCCAAATGTTAGGATGGCAAGTGCAGCAAAAAAAACAGCGCATAAGTTGCTTGATGAGATAGCCTATGCTCGAACAACAAGTGAATATGAAAAGGCTCTAAAGAAAATAAAAGATTTTCATCCATCTCTGCGTGTTTGGGTTTTAGAAAGCAAGCATGAGCACTGGAGTAATGCATTGTTTAGTAAACCACAATGGGATTGGTTAAATAGTAATATTGCTGAAAGTTTTAATGCTTGGATGGGTGAAGCAAGATGGTTTATCCATTGGAAGAATGATGCAAGCTCACACTGAAAAATATTCTCAACTACTAGCTAATAAGGTGAATGATCTTAAGAGTTGGAAGCATGAAATAGGACGAAGAGTAGAGAAAAAGTTGAGAGAACAAATTAAGCTACGAGAAAGTTTGCATCCGTCGCCAAGGCCTCCACTTGAGGTTGAAGTTTCTGAGCGACAAAAAGGTCCTGTTATGGTTAATTTTGGTACTAGCAGCTGCACATGTTTAAGATGACAAATGATTGGAATTCCTTGTTGTCATGCTTGTTGTTCAATTGAGCATCAAAATTTCAATGTATATGATCATGTTGGTGATTGGTATAAAAAGAATGTGCAAGAAAATA